TTGATTTCATGATTTTTGCCATACCACATTTTTAAGCATTATCAGTGTTGGGGCAAGCTTTATATACTGTGTCAATTCTCTTTCCATTACTATAAAACATACCTAAGATAATCAACTTATAAAGAGAAAATGTTTATGTTGGTTCACAGTTTTAAGAGTTCCAATTCATGATTAGTTGGCACTGTTGTTTTGGGCCTATGGTGAGGCAGCATATCATGATGAAAGTGCTTGGCAGAGCAAAACCACTTACATTAGAAGTAGGTAGAAAGGAGGGGAAAAAGGAAGGGGCTGGAGTTTCACAATCCCCTTCAGGTATATGACCCCCAAAACATAATGACCTCATTGTAGGCCCTACCTCTCAATGGCTTTACCACTTCTCAGTAGTGCTGCCCTGGGGACCAAGCTTTTAACACATAGGCCTTTAGAAAGCATTCAAGATCCAAACTAGAGCTTATCCCATACTTTGCTATTTCCTGCTAGGATTTTCAGATATTTTTGGAATTTAGCATCTATTCATTTTTTAAAATTAAAAAATTAACATGAATTCATGCTTTTTAAAAAAGTCAAAAAATACATAAAAATATATAAGGTGAAAAGTTAAAAGCTGGGGCTGAGGATATAGGTCAGCATTTGCCTAGCATGTGTAAGGCCCTGGGTTCAATCCCCAGCACATACACACACACACACACACACACAAAATAAATAAAAAATTAAAAAATTAAAAAAGCTAAAGCTTACCCTATCTCATCTTATTCCTTTCTTCATAGTAAAGCATAGTTAATAGTTTGTTCATTCCATAAACAATTTCCTAGAATAGCATCACTTTGACTTTTTACTTACATAAACAACATCATAGTAATTATACAGTTCCAATATTCTTTGTACTACATCTTCCTGTCTCTATACTACATGTATAGTAATTTCTAGTTGAGTGCCCATAGATATTAAGGTAATAGAGTGAGAGCTGGGTTCTAATTCCAGTTTTGATTCTGGATACGCCTTTAGACAATAGTTTTTTGGTACTCATTTTACCCAATTTAAAAAGTAAATGGAAATAATGATACTTACTTCACTGAGTTGTTATGATTATAGAATTTGTG